TATTAGTCTTTTATTTAAGCTGATTCACATGAGGGAGAGTCACCCGTTATTAGTCTTTTATTTAAGCTGATTCACATGAGGGAGAGTCACCCGTTATTAGTCTTTTATTTAAGCTGATTCACATGAGAGAGTCACCCATTATTAGTGTTTTATTTAAGCTGATTCACATGACGGAGAGTCACCTGATTCTGTACAAAATCCATGCACACATATTAGCATTCATATACTCTACTGGTGCTAATGGTATGCATAAGGGGGTGAAATTGGACAGGAAGATCCTGTCCCCAGTACTGCTAACCCCTAAAAGAACCAGTAGCACCACTTTTCATGTTTATGCTGTCACCAGCACCAAGCATGGCCAGGCCTGGCGAGCAAACCCCGATTTCATTCACCAGGGTGCTGAGGTGCTGGGTCAGGCCTGGCGAGCGAACCCCGATTTCATTCACCAGGGTGCTGATTTCTGATCCCACTTCGTGGCTGTACAACAAGGTCTTCATACCTAACGAAGTGGCCCCTCTCTGCTGCTTTGTGGGAATGAGCGCCTCTCCCTTGCAGTCCCACATGGGGGTGAGGCTGCTCAGCTTGAACTCCCTGAGGCATCACCAAGGCGTTAAGTCACTAGCATCTGCATGGAAAGCAGTGGCGATAAGCAGTGGCGCCCTGACCGGCCCTCAGCGAAGGCAGGATGACCTGATAAGGCGGCGTGAGAGACACACCCGTGGGTTAAACAATATCTGCCATGCACGGAGGTCGCCCTGCATCAAGAATTATGAATAATTATCCAAAGACAGCGAGCTCCATGAGATGGGTGGGGGGAGGGGGTACAGCAGAAAGCCTGAAGGAGTGTGAGCCAGGTGTGAAATGAAACAGCCGGAGCCGGGTAGGCGCTGTGGTCTGAGCTGGGGGGACGCGGTGATTAGTGCAGCTCGTCTGTGCGTCGTGCATGATAGGAAACCAGAGAGCCTGCAGCTGCATACAGCCAGGCCAGTCGTTATCTTAGTAATCTGTGTTTGGCTTTTACCGGGGACCCCCCCCCTTACAGTGCTGGGAGGCAGCGTGTGACTCAGTGGGATAGAGCTCTGTGTCTGTGATCAGAAGGTTATTGGTTCAGATCCCAGGCTCAGCAGAGTAACGTCAGCATTAACTCCCAATAGCTCCAGGGCCTGGCTGACCCTGGTTCAGGTCTCAGGCTCAGCAAAGTAACATCAGCATTAACTCCCAATAGCTCCAGGGCCTGGCTGATCCTGGTTCAGATCCCAGGCTCAGCAGAGTAACGTCAGCATTAACTCCCAACAGCTCCAGGGCCTGGCTGACCCTGGTTCAGAGACCAGGCTCAGCAGAGTAACGTCAGCATTAACTCCCAATAGCTCCAGGGCCTGGCTGACCCTGCTTTCACAAAATGTACGTCGAATAAGAATGAATAAGAATGAATAAGAATGCATACCTTGTGTTTGAGGCATGATGTAAACACAGCAGACCTTTTTCATGGAACCCCCCCTCCCCCCACTCTGTTTCCAGGTGTCCCATCCTCAAGGCGGATGGAGGTGGCGCACAGGACACCTCATTAAATATGCAAGCCCCTGCCTCTGCTGTGGGTGGGCACCCAGAGGGCCCCGCCCCCTCGCCGTCATTCCGCACTTGCTCCATTCCCATAATCCCCTCTGTCCAGGGACATTGCGGGGTTTCCTGTGAGCCAATGGCTAACCTGGATGCTGGCTGCCGTTGTTCGTTGCCACAAGGCCAGGTGGGGGGTCGCCCCTGTCGTCTGAGCACCGCCCATCCTGCAGTGACGAGTGGAGGACAGCAGGGGTCGCCCTTTGCACTGGAAGCTAGACAGCGCCTCAGGGCCCTACCACATAGCTACAGGAAGGCAGACGATTGTGGTGCCAAGAAGATGGACCATTTCCCATCAGCCACTGGAACTGAGACTAACGCACTGGCCCAGAATGGACCTACATTAGTGCATCTGAGAGAAACAATTACAGACTCTGTCTGGGTCAACCAGTGAAGCAGCTTAAGGGCGTGGCCATCTTCTCTCTTTGGACCAATCACAAACAATGTGTTGGATTTAAAACTCTGCAAACCTCATGCAGGAAAGAGACAAGACAAGAAACACGAACAACATTACGAAACACTGAAAAAATGTGAATAAAAAAGAGTGGAAATATTAACAAAACAAAGGATGGTTTAGGGTGGAAAAAAACAAATTAAAAATATGAATAATTTATATGTATTTATTTAAACAAGGAGCTTCTACTTAGAAAGAAAACCAAATAGTCTGTCATCTCCATGGTGTTTTTAATTGTTAAAAAATAAAGATGAGGAATATGGGAAAAGCGTAGCTTTTTATTTCTCTCAGATTTAACTGAAACAGACTTTCTAGCAGGCAGGCATGAGGACACGTCAGCAAACAGTTCACGTGCTGGACAGCATGCACACACTCTTCTTGAATCTGTTCTTTTCAGCAGGTCTTCTGGGGTCCCGCTGGATCCAGTCATGTGATTGACATAATACCAACAAATTGTCTGAGAAAGCGGTGGGGCATGTGGAGGTGGGGCTGAGGGGGTGTTGTGCTCAGCTGAGAATTTGCCTGGATTGGTGGAGAATGTGTGTGACTTTGCAAATATGCAAATGTTGTGATGTCATCAGAAGCCGACACTGGGTCTGATACAGAAAGGCTTTTCTGAGGAGCACTGGAGTCCAGCAGCAGGGGCAGAGGGTCTGCTATTAGAGAAGCAGTGATTCGGACTGAAACACTCCTCATTACCACTCCAGTGTCCCAGGGTGGCGGATGTCCGCTCTTATCGTACGCACGTTATTAAAACACAGATTAAGCACATCTCATACGCAATTTGTTTCAAGCGGAGGTGATGTGCATGCAGTATTTATGTGCCCTCAGCGCTAAAAGAGAGAGGAGTTTACTGTGGGGGTTTTCTTTGGAATAATTTAGTAAAGAGTGTGCTTGGTGCTTTGCGTGTGAGCTAGAGGGCGGCAGGGCAGCCTCACAAGGTCTTTTCTGTGGGAAATCAGCGACACGTGAAGTGGGCTCGCGCAGGCCGTCAGGGCCCAGGCCGTGTGTAATGTGGGGGGGTTTGTTACATCCAAAGTGGGGCCCCAAGAGCTCCAGTTACACACAAGCGGACTGACAACATCAGCAGAGAGCGTGATCTGAAGGTTCCATTTTAAACTATTGATCTGTTTTCTCATCAGTATTTCAGCAGCTCATGTTTATTTCTGAGCAACATGCTTCTGTGTGAAATGATCAGTTTATGAACGATAGGCACGTTTGGCTTTCCGGAACATTCAGCTGATGTTCAGCCCTTCAGGCAGCATGAAAGCCAGACTTTGTTAACTGGTGTGGGATAACTGTAACACCCTATAACACAATGACACAGCTGCTGTCCCAATCACCACAATCAACTGACCTGCACCAATCAACACACTCTGCCACATCGTTCCACCAATCAGCACAAAGCACCGTGCTGCTGCGGCATTCAGCACATTCCACTGTGGCAGACTCCAGAAATGATGCTCTGACAGCTATAAAGAACTAGACACACAGGTACACAAATAAACCAACAGACATTTAACAGACATAAACAGATAGAGAGACAGGCAGATACATACAGTGGACAGAAAGACTATTGGAAGGCTAGCAAGCAGAAAGCTCACCAGGTACACAGCCCACCTGGAACGCTCCCTGTGCCACCCAGCGGCCCCTGGCAGCACTCAGCCTTCCCATCAGCTTTGCACTGGGAAATGACTGTGCGGCAGGACCAGCCATTGATCTGCTGCCGCTCATTAACCACGGCGGATGGCTCCTGGATGTCAGCACGGCCTGCATCTGCTCCTCCTCAGCAAGCAGGGAGGTGTCACTGGTGGGGTGGGATGCAGCAATACTGCACTGCACTACAATGCAGGCATATTGACGGAATGCAATGTGTATGTGTGAATATGTGTGTGTGTGTGTGTGTGCATCTGTGAGTGTGTGTTTGTGAATGTGTGTGTGTGTCTGTGAGTGTGAGTGTGTCTGTGAGTGTGTTTGTCTGTCTATGAGTTTGTGTGTCTGTAAATGTGGGAGTGTGTCTGTGAGTGTGCATGTGTGAGTGTGTGTGTGTCTATGAGTGTGTGTGTGTCTGTGAGTGTGTGTGTGTCTGTGAGTGTGCATCTGTGAGTGTGTGTTTGTGAATGTGTGTGTGTGTCTGTGTGTGTGTATCAGTGTGTGTGTGTGTGTCTGTGTGTGCGTGTCTGTGAGTGTATGTGTGTGTGTGTGTCTGTGAATGTGTGTGAGTGTGTCTGTGAGTGTGTGTATATCAGTGTGTGTGTGTGTCTGTGAGTGTGTGTATATCAGTGTGTGTGTGTGTGTGTCTGTGAGTGTATGTGCGTGTGTATGTCTGTGAGTGTGTGTGTGTATGTCTGTGAGTGTATGTATGTGTGTATGTCTGTGAGTGTGTGTGTGTATGTCTGTGAGTGTATGTATGTGTGTAAGGTTAAATCTGCAGCACACAGCTGGATCCAGCCAGAGCCTCGCTTTGGAGGTGGCACACACGCGCTGTGATTGTGTGGCGATTTCCTGCTGCCTGCCGGGTCTCTGCTTCACAGGGACTCAGATGATGCCTCTAATAGAGTCACCTTCATTGGTGGACGGTCACTATCTCTCAGGCATCTGCATGTCCCACTCCATGGGGGGGGGGGGGGGGGTCAGCACTGAGCAGGTATGGCCACTGCACCGGCGCACTCCAAGGCCGCATCCCTCTTGCTCATCTGGGTTTAGCTACCCGCCTGGCATAATCAAACACCTGCATGCACCACAGTGTCCAGCCCTCCAGCTTAATTATCCAGCAGATGGAGCCCTTTTCAATCAAAAGTCAGAAATCGTAAGGCAGTGAGAAAGTACTGTGGCCTGGTTTTGAGAGGCCATTCGCAATTTATTCAGCAATATTCTCCCTGCATTTCCAGCAGGATGTGTTTAGAGGCAGCACTGGCTCCCGAACATGGGCATGTTTAGAGGCGGCACTGCCTCCAGAACATGGGCTTGTTCAGAGCTAGCGCTGTTTCCAGAACATGGGCGTGTTTAGAGGTGGGGCTGCCTCCAGAACATGGGCGTGTTTAGAGGTGGGGCTGCCTCCAGAACATGGACGGATTTAGAGGCGGTGCTGCCTCAAGAACGTGGCCGTGTTTAGAGGCAGTGGTGCCTCCCGAACATGGGCGTGTTTACCCAGAACCACCCCTGTTCTCCAAACTCACAATTAAGCATGGCTTCCACCCACAAAGCACAGAAGGAGATTAGCATTTGGGTTTTATTTTTAACTAGGACACCTCTCTCCCCCCATAGGAACTTTAGAAAAACTGCCTGCCTTCTCTGTGCCAGAATAGCCTCACATCAGGGTGGTGAGATTATACCTTATTCAGCTCCCAGCTGGACTCACACAGCCTGTGGCTGTGGGGCTATTAAACTGATGGGTCAGACTGGTTTAGTTGGATAATCCTGCTCCAGCGTCATCTCCCTGTCCCCTGCCAGCCTCCCTCCACCATCCTGCTTCAGCAGGTGAGACACGCGGTCGCCTCTGAGCTTCCATACATCCGGAAAACAAGACATAACAGGATTGTCCCGGCCCGTGGCATTGGGGTGCCCAGCCGGGATGACAGGGACAGACAGGCCAGCAGCCTTTAAGGCTGACTCATAATGGACAGCCATGTTTTAGAAAGTAGGATCTTCTGTCCTGGTGAGCTTGCCTGTGTGGGTGGAGAATAGGGTGTTCCTTGGGTTAAAGTCCACTGAAAGGAACCAGATGTGCCCATTAAGGTGATGACTGATCCACCATCAGGACTTCATCATCTAGGAAGCTGTGGCTGAAACAGGACAGAGGGGCTCTCTGCTGACAGCTGCTGCAGGACCGCTGTGTTCTGCGGAGACTGTCTGCTCTCTGGGCATGTCGGACTAGTCACATAGGGGCGGCCTAAAAGCCTGCATCCCAAAAGTCCAGCTACACGAATTTGCCATAATAGGCCTGTTACTCTAATTATATTTACATTTTACTCACCTAACAGACATGCTTATCTAAAGCACTGTACATGGCAACAGAGCCAGACATGCTTTTTATTCAGCGGAGTATGTCCTAGAGGAGGTGGGGTTTGAGGTATTGTGGTGTTGCATAACTGTTGAATAGGTTCCCCCTCTAGGGTAGAGGCCCAAGATATAATGAAGATGTCCACCTACATATTATCGATTCATTTTCAAAGTTGTAGACTTTATGTTCACCTCTGTGTTAATTTGACTGCCTGGGAAGCCCAATGAGGACCAAGAAGCCCCGGAGCCCCGGTGTGGCCGTGTGTGTGTGGGGGGGGGGGGGGGGGGGGGGTGGGGGGGGGGGGGGGGGGGGGGTGAATGCAGG